AAAATTTTTCTCCCATTCTGTAGATTGCCTGTTCACTCTGATGGTAGTTTCTTTTGCTGTGCAGAAGCTCTTTAGTTTAATTAGATCCCATTTGTCAATTTTGGTTTTTGTTGCCATTGCTTTTGGTATTTTAGACGTGAAGTCCTTGCCCATGCCTATGTCCTGAATGGTGTTGCCTTCTAGGGTTTTTATGGTTTTAGGTCTAACATTTAAGTCTCTAATCCATCTTGAATTAATTTTTGTCTAAGATGTAAGGAAGGGATCCAGTTTCAGCTTTCTACATATGCCCAGCGCCATTTATTAAATAGGGAATCCTTTCCCCATTTCTTGTTTTTGTCAGGTTTGTCTAAGATCAGATGGTTGTAGATGTGTGGTATTATTTCTGAGGACTCTGCTCTGTTCCATTGGTCTATATCTCTGTTTTGGTACCAGTCCCATGCTGTTTTGGTTACTGTAGCCTTGTAGTATAGTTTGAAGTCAGGTAGCGTGATGCCTCCAGCTTTGTTCTTTTGGCTTAGGATTGTCTTGGCAATGCTGCTCTTTTTTATTTCCATATGAACTTTAAAGAAGTTTTTTTCCAATTCTGTGAAGAAAGTCATTGGTAGGTTGATGGGGATGGCATTGAATCTATAAATTACCTTGGGCAGTATGGCCATTTTCACGATATTGATTTTTCCTATCCATGAGCATAGAATGTTTTTCCATTTGTTTGTGTCCTCTTTTATTTCATTGAGCAGTGGTTTGTAGTTCTCTTTGAAGAGGTCCTTTACATCCCTTGTAAGTTGGATTCCTAGGTACATTATTCCATTTGACGCTATTGTGAATGGGAGTTCTCTCATGATTTGGCGCTCTGTTTGTCTGTTATTGGTGTCTAGGAACACTTGTGATTTTTGCACACTGATTTTGTATCCTGAGACTTTGCTGAAGTTGCTTATCTGCTTAAGGAGATTTTGGGCTGAGACGATGGTGTTTTCTAAATATACAATCATGTCATTTGCAAACAGGGAAAATTTGACTTCCTGTTTTCTTAATTGAATACCCTTTATTTCTTTCTCCTGCCTGATTGCCCTGGCCAGAACTTCCAACCCTATGTTGAATAGGAGTGGTGAGAGGACATCCCTGTCTTGTGCCAGTTTTCAAAGGGAATTTTTCCAGTTTTTGCCCATTCAGTATGATATTGGTTGTGGGTTTGTCATAGATAGCTCTTATTATTTAGAGATACGTTCCATCAGTACTGAGTCTTACTAGGACTTTTAAGACAATTGTCAGCTGACAAATTTTATGGGTTAAAGAGTCAAGACTGGCTTAGTGTCAGATCTTACCCTTATAGCTGTGTGACCTTGGGCAATGTTTAAAAACTTTTTTATTGTTTAACTTTGCATAATAATAGTGATTAAGCCAAAATTGACCATTGAACTGTGAACTCATTTACTCCCCGCAGTAACCACATGACATAGGTGAGGAAATGAAGGCATGTAGTGGTTACACAACTAATAGTAAAGGTGGTATCTAAGGTGCAACACAAAGTCCCCTCCCTCTTCCCTCTCCTTTTCTCAAGCAGAAGTCTCCCCGCATAGTTACCACAACTGGAAATGTACTGGGTCACACCTAAAGCCAGCACGTCTCTGAATCTCACCCAAGGCCCATGGAAAGTACTGCCTGGGTACCTACTGCTGCTGATTATTCAGGGCCCAAGGGCTCTTTAGTCAGCAGATAATCAATCTTGCCGGAACTAAGTCCTTCCCTTCAAAGCAGTAGGTTCCCTTTTGTCCAAGGGTGTGTCTAGAAATGCTGTCTGGGAGGTAGGGCCTGGAACAGGAGCCTCAGGACTCTGCCTGGTGACCTGTCCTACTGTGGCTAAGCTGGTATCCAAGTTACAAGACAGAGTCCTCTTCACTCTTCCCTCTCCTCTCCTCAAGCAGAGAGAAGGAGTCTTTCCCGGAATTGCAAGCTGCACTACTTGGGGTGGGAGGAAGGGTGGTGCAAGTGCTCCCTTCGTCGCCCCAGCTGGTGTCTCACTGGGTGGTGTGGTGGCTCCGAACCCAGCACAGCCCAGGACTTGCACTCTTGTGGCCTAGCCTGCCTTTCACGTTTACTTAGGACTCCAAAGCACTTTACAGTGGCAAGGCTTGCTGGCCTCAGGTTCCAACCACTGGGATGGTTACCACAGGCCTTGAGTGTGACTCAGTGCTTTGTTGACTTCAAGTATGATCCAGTGCCATCACAGTGGAGGTGGCAACAGGGTTGCTTGTGTCACCCCTCCCCCAGCTCCACACACCTTAGCAGAGAGAGAGAGAGAGACTCTGTTTGGGAGAATGTAAGGGAAGAGAACAAGAGTTTCTGCCTGGTAATTTAAATAATTCTTCCACATGTTATTTAGGACCATGAAGGCAATACCACTACAAGTCTTTCAGAGCCACAACATTAGTAGGCTTAAGGTGCCCGTAATGTATATATGGCTACAGTGACTAGAAACAGATCACAACACCCAAGTTCCTTCGAATACCTGGAAAGCCTTCCCAAGAAGGACTGGGACAAACAAACCCAGCCTGTAAAGACTACAATAAATGCCTAACTCTTCAATGTCCAGACATCAGTGAACATCCACAAGCATCAAGACCATCCAGGAAAACACTGACCTCACCAAATGAACTAAATAAGACACCACGGATATGTGTCCTTTTGGGTGGAAAAATCAAAATAGTTGTTTTGAGGAAATACAACAAAATTCAAGATAATACAGAGAAGGAATTCAGAATCTTATCAGATAAATTTAGCAAAGAGATTAATAAAAAGAATCAAGCAAAAATCTTGGAGTTGAAAAGTGCAGTTGACCTACTAACAAATGTATCAGAATCTCTTAACAGAATTGATCACACAGAAGAAGGAATGAGTGAACTTGAAGACAGGCTAATTGAAAATACACAGAGGAGAAAAAAGAATAAAAAGGAACGAGGCAGAACTACAAGATCTAGAAAATAGCCTCAAAAGGACAAACCTAAGAGTTATTGTCCTTAAAGAGGAGGTAGAGAGAGAGTTAGGGGTAGAAAATTTATTCAGATAGACAATAACAAAGAGCCTCTCAAAACTAGTAAAAGATATCAATATTAAAATACAAGAAGGTTATAGAACACCAAGCAGATTTAAACCAAGACTACCTCAAGATACTTAATAATCACACTCTCAAAGATCAAGGATGAAGAAGAAAGGATCCTAAAAGCAGCAAGAGAAAAAGAAAAAAAACATGTAATGGTGCTCCAGTACATTTGCCAGCAGACTTCTCAGTGGAAGTTGCACAGGACAGGAGAGAGTGGCATGCCGTATTTTAGTGTGGATTAGGAACTTCAGCAAAGTATTAGAGAAACTGAGTGGCTCTGAACTTTATTCTAAATAACTATGTCTTACTTACCAGCTCTTAGAAGGAAGTCAGAGAACACTTCTGTAGGTGAAATAGTATTCCCTCCTGATTCAGAGAGGAGAGAACATGGAGGCAGAGCAGAAACTTCATTAGCAGGCATTCTGTCCTTTGTTTAAAAGATAAAGTGACCAAGATGTGGAAAAAGGATAATAAAACACAAAAGAATAAGAGTTGTATAACTCTGAGAGACATAAAAGAAGATATGATTAAGTTGAAAATTACCATTTTGGGATAGGAAGACTCAGTATTATATGTCTCCCTAAATAAATCTTGTCCAGGATTTCTGTTCATTTGTCATCTAATCATTTAGAGTTGCTTAGACTAGCCCTATACAGTTGCTTTATTTTTCTCCATAGCACTTATCCCCATGTGATATAACTACGTATTTACTTAATTTTCTTTTTCCCCACTTTTGGAATGTAAACTTATGAAGCTATGTGAACTTATGAGGGTATACTTGTGTTTCTCTCCTTACTAGAATGTAGATTTATGAGGATATGTTTTATCCCTTGTGGTATCCCCACTACCTTAAGCTGTGCTTGGCACAAAGGAAGCAATGACTGATGAGTGAATGAATGAATAAATAAAACCCTCCTTTCTCTCATAATCCACAGTGCTTACTGTCTGTTCTATAGTTTTTTGGTGGTTAATTTTGTTCAGTTTAGCATCTTATAATGCTTTCTATTATTTTCTTTTGGTTCAGTATCTAATTGTTTCATTCCTATAGGACATTCTTCTCCATGCTCCTTGATGGCATGAGTGGGACAAATGCTTCCTTTGTGTACTACCTCACAGTGCAAGGCCAATGGATGTAGGAACTTGCTGAATTGAACACATGTGTTTGTTCATAATGACTTAAATTGCCAAAATCCAGTTTGCCTTTAATAAAAGGCGTATTTTTTTATTGGCTGAAACAGTATAATTCTGTATGAAATAGGTTTTTTTTTTAATGTGTGAATACTTTTTGGTGATGTTTTGTTGAGCTCATAGTAAATTTTGGTAAGTGGAAGTTGGAACTTTTGTAATTATAATTGTATGAGTTTCTACACATAATATGAGTAAAATAATATCACCATTTTCAATGAGATAAGAATTTCTTACCTTGAAATTTAAATTTCTAATAAAATGTCTCCTTATGCTGTAGTTATATTGGAACCTAGTTTCAAGATGAAATATTAATTCTAAATAAGTATAACTTTGTAGCCTACTTATCCTTTTATATATACGTTTGCAAATATAAATGTACAGATGTTTTTATACATACTTTGTTGTATTTCTCATGCCAGGATTTCATTTAACAGTTTGCGTAACTATTTCTGTTCCTTACCTTTGCATTACCACTAGGATATTTTTAAAAAGTAATTGCAGATGCTCTATAAATCTCTCTATACATATAAATTTTGTATATTGTTTTGTGGAGATAAATTTTCAAGTGTACACTTTACATTTTCAAAAGTTACTGAAATAATACCATAAATATTTACAAGAAGAAATTTAGAACTGTGTTAAAGTTTTGTTGGTTCTTTTCTAATTAATGTGGAGAATTATTTACTTATTTACTTATATTTTTTCTTTATTTCAGACCAGTCTATCCATATGGGGATGGGGAAGCCTTGGCATTGTCCTTTTTCTGATAACCTTTGGACCCTTTGTAATATTTTATTTGACATTTTATATCCTCTGCTTTGTGGGTGGGTAAGTATACTCAATTACAATTTTATAATTCTTGTGTCATGTCTTGTTAAAATGGAAACAAATGACTGTGAGAAATGGGAGTATGATTTATTTGTGAATGCCATTTTTAATAAATTGCTTTTACTAAAGTTAAAAAAATAAGGATACCCATAAAAATAAAAACAGTGATTGTCATTATTTGTATCATAAATATGGGTAGTCCTTCAATAATAGATGTCCATTTCCAAAGGTATGAACTTTGTTTTGGTGATAATGTGTAAAGTTTAAAAAATTTTTCAGATTCCTTTTGGTGTTGTTTCTCCTTTAAAGTTGAAATTTTCTTTTGCATTATGTTAATAATAATAAGTAAGTTAAAATGAGACTACACATGAAGTTTTACATTATAGAAATTGTGATTAGACTTCAGACAATAATGTTAATTTTTTCCTTTAATGAATGTTGTCATTTCGGTCTAGAAAATTCAAATACCTGATTTCACAGTTTTCTCTTCGTAGTTATTTGGTGTACGTTTATATTTTCCCTTAAGTTGATAAACCTTTACAAGAGAGGTTTCAGTCATAATTTATTGTAGCTTTGTATGCAGAGCGTTTGGTATCAGACATGAATTACAAGGAAATATTAGAAAATATATAGACAAGGGATGTTTGTTATTTAGACACTGTTACCAAAGTAGCTTAGTTGAAATGAGTATTTTGTTGTTAATGTGTTTGTATGTATGTTTATATGACATATTTATGTAATCAGTTGTGGAATGAACACTGATTTCATTCTGAAAAATCTTTTGAGACCCCAAATATTTGGAGGAGTTGTTTGAGCCTATAGGTTTAGAAGATTTAGCTGAATTGAATAGCTTATATAAACATTGGCTTGAGAAACTATATCGGACACTGAAGGGTTAGCTTCGAAATATATCTGTCACTTTTTTGGGGATACAGATTTGATAGTCATGTTATGGTCTTTCTATAGGGAGCATATGCTTGAACAAGTGAGAATTTCTTTAATTGAGCAGCTATGTCAGAGACTCTCCATAAAACTGTATTTTATGTTAGATTTAGTATTTTTGTATCTGTGGCCTAGATATAATACTGTGTACTGAAACATGTAAACTTATTTTAGCCATAATAGTCTGATAATGGAGTTCAGAGTATCTTTATTGATGATAAAGCTGATTGAAGATAATACAGATCTGCAGCCAAATGGGTTTCCCAATTACACTCCTCAGTCACAGTTAAGGCCACAGCATGGCTGAACAGTGACATGGTTGCACCTCTCCCTCTCAGAGTCAAGGCTGCATTTATTAATTGGAAAGGAAATTGTCTTGACTTTCTTTTTTTGAAAGGTAGAAATGTCTTCTAATTACGCTAATTGTATTAGCCCTTGTAAGAGTGAAGGAAAAGGATTTCAGAGTATTTCTCAATACTTTGGCAAGGGAGGATATTGCAGCTTTATAGGCTAAGGTAGGAGCCCTTAGAAGGTAGATAAGTGAATAATTATTTCTTTTTTTACTCAACTGCTCCAAATAAGATTTAGGAAAAAGAGAAATCAGTTTATTAATTTTTTAAGTTTTTAAATCTTTAAAAATACCCAGATCCTGCACAAAGTTTCTTCGTTTTTAAAGTCATGAGAACCTTTGTTGTTCCTTTTTTAAATGTTGTAATTTATCAAGGAATAATTTCAAATAATCTTTCAGATGCTTACAAAGTTCTGTAAAAATTTGAAGATAAGGTGGGATACTAGAGGATAATGGGTACTAAAAAACCCTTTAGAGAAAATTAAGAGTCACATGGTAGGCCTGTGGAATCCTCTCTTGTTTTGTTTTGCTAATAAAACTTAAGTTTTTAAGTGCTGCAGTTTATTCTTCTGAAGTTCTTGATAATGTCTCTATTTTGCTTATAGTCAAAGTTAACCCCTTATTTTTTAATATAAAGAATACTTTTGGAAAGAAAAATACATGGGGATTTTTCATTTTTGTTGTTGTAGGATACTTTCATCCCATTGCATTATGGTTATTTTGTGGCATTCTGTTATATTAGTTGGGTTATATAATTATTTCTTGCACCTAACTACAGTTTAAATTATTATTTAAACTTTACGGCTGAAGCTACTATTTAGGTTCTTTTAAAATCACACTGCTCTTTATCTTGTCTTCCTATCGTCACACACTTGTGGGCAAAAGTTAATGTCTTATCAGTCTGTTTCTTGATGATGTTTTTAATAACACAGTGTTAATATAAACATTTTATTGTGTCTGTAAATATGCTTAATAACCAGGTAAAACGGAAATACAGGGCCAACTTGAATCTTAATAATAATACCAGATATAACACAGATAGATGAAATTCAGCAGTAATTCTGAGACCAGCCTTTTACAGACAACAAAAACAGAATTAGTGACATAAACTGATTTGACTTTTTCCTTGTTCTCAACAAACATGGAAAGGTAGCCACAAAAATTGGAGGACTTTGAGAATCTTCCTTTCAGTAGTTGAGACTGATAATATTTAATGTCTTACTGTTCCCTTCCTGTCATTACAGTCTTTGAATCATTGTAACATTACTATAAGATCATTATAAGATTAAATGTTTTTTGATGGATTTCCAACACTTTGCTTTATTGGTAAATTTTAAATCTATGAAATATTGATAATATTTAATTAATACTTAGAGTGAAGTAGTTCAAAATCACCATTTATCTTCCTTGATCCTGTAATTATTTTTCAAAATAATTAACTTATTTTGGGATACATTTATATTTTAATTCCAGCCTTATTTTAAACAAATCATAGATTAGATTTTTTTTTCCCCCTAATGGCCTTTATTTTTATTCTGTATTCATACTGGCAAGTTGTAGTAATGCAATACCTCACCTTAATTGGTTAACAGAACTATAGAATTTGGTCATTTAGCTACATATTTAGATCTCATTTGCCTTTATCCATGGTTATTAGCTAGCATACTTGTTTAATAAGGGCTGATTTTCCTTTTTTTGTTTTTGAGACGGAGTCTTACTCTGTCACTGGAGTGCAGTGGCGTGATCTCGGCTCACTGCAATCTCTGCCTCCTGGGTTCAAGCAATTCTCCTCTCTCAGCCTCCTGAGTAGCCCGGATTACAGGTGCGTGTCACCACGCCCAGCTAATTTTTGTATTTTTAGTAGAGACGGGGTTTCACCATGTTGGTCAGGATGGTCTCGATCTCCTGACCTCAGATGATTCACCTGCCTTGACCTCCCAAGGTGCTGGGATTACAGGCATGAGCCACTGCGCTCAGCCTGATTTTTCTTAAGTTTGAAAAATGTCATTTAAGTTTTTTTTGTTTTCGAGACAGAGTCTTGCTCTGTCACCCAGGCTCGAGTGTAGTGGCGTGATCTCAGCTCACTGCAACCTCCACCTCCCGTGTTCAAGCGATTCTCCTGCCTCAGCCTCCGGATTAATGTGCCACCACCCTGGTTAATTTTTGTATTTTCAGTAGAGACAGAGTTTCACTATGTTGGTCAAACTGGTCTCGAACTCCTGACCTTGTGATCCGCCTGCCTTGGCTTCCCAAAGTGCTGGGATTACAGGCGCGAGCTACCACACCCGGCCTTGTCACAAGATTCTTTAGGAAATATATTGGATTAAAACTTTGAAAAGTATTATTGTGTAATTCACAAAATGTTTATAGTTGTTTTAAACTTCAGAACCTAATACAATCTGTCAATTTCTTGCTTTGCCAAAGTCACAAATTGACTTTTTAGTAAATGATAAGCCATCTGTGAACTCTGAAAAACATACTTGGTAGTAGATTCATTAAATTATAAGAAAGTTTTGTTTTTATATTTGTGATTAAATTTTTTTTCTAGGGGTTTAGTGGTTACTCTCCTGTTCGGAAAAACAAACTCAGAGAAGTACCTAGAACAGTGTGAACACTCATTTCTTCCTCCAACATCAACTGGGGTTCCTAAGGTAAATAGTTTGAGGGAATATAAAACCTCAAAGTCCAGTTCTTTGCAATGATGATAATCATCTGTATATAGCGTGACAAATTTTCCTATAATTTACTAATGCTCATTGAAATTTATATGAGATTGTCTAATTATACTTAGGAAATATATTTTAAAAGGCCATCTTAAAAACTTTCTTAGTGTTAGTTTTATAAAGTGGGAATACAAACCTGAGAAAATGATAGAAATTGGTTAGTTTATTTTGGGTATTTTTCCTGCTGTCTTATCGTAGTATTTCAAAGCATCATGTGTATCATTTGTAACGATGTCAATGAGTGTTCTGGTTTGAATGAAATAAATTGCAGAGGAACCAGAGGGAAAAAATGGATACTTTTCATTACTTTGAAAAATATAGCTTGTAATTAGATTATGCAGTATCTGAATTTTAATAATTCAGACCTAATTTTTATCATCTTGAATGGTGCTATTTTATTTTTTTTTAGTATCATACTCTATAAATAAAATTGGAATTGCGTAGGCTTCAGATTTGTAGTGTCTTCAATTCTTGTGGAATTGGGTTGGTTTCATTTTGTATGAAGAGAGGCAAATGGCCTGGAGTTGATGCTAATAACAACTTTCTTTACAGTTATTAACTTGTCTGTTACATGCTAAGGTGCAAGAGATGTAGAGGTAAATAATGTCCAATATTATTTTACATTAATAAAAGAATTTCACTCTATTCCACTGACTTTTATATTGATAAACAAATTTTTTAATACTTAAACTTTTTTATGATCTGAAACCTCTCTCTCCTTTAGGACTCATATTCATATGTATTTTTTTTTTTTTTACTTATAAGTCTTACGAAATTAACCTTTCCTTTTGAACCATTTCTTAGCTATTTATAGTGTACTTCATTTGAGTGGTAGATAGGTTAGGAAATATTTTAAGAATTAAGATCCTTTACAGTAATAAATTATATTCAAGACTGGTTAAGTCTTTATAATCCATTTTTAATAGATAGTATAAAAATAGTGGTTTTTATTTTCTATTTCTAAAATATGATTTATAAGTATGTTTTATGAAAAAATTTCAGTGGTTTCATATTATAACTTGAAGCATGTATTTTTAATATAGATATCTATGTCTATATCTGTATCTATATTGTATATATTTATGGTTTGTTTTTTTAAGAGTCTCCCACTGCCTTTAACCCAATTTTCAGGCCACTGATCTTTCTGAACACAAAAAACTAGAGAAATACATTTTCGTAAGTTGCCAAAAACTATCCCTAAATAAAATCCGTTTAAAAATTATTTTGCAGCTGGTATGCTGTTTGGGGCTGGGAAAGGGGAGGGGCAAGAGGGAGAGTGTTCCAATAAAGACAGGTTGACTCACATGAAACACTAATTTTATAGTTGTAAAGTTTCATTGAAATATGGCAGCAGCATACCTGTACATTTGCAGTTTTCCCACATTCTAAATAATGTTTGCTGATTTAATTAAATTTTTGACGGTAATCATTTTTTTGGGAGTGTCTAGTTTTGTTAACTTGAGAAATAGTGTTTGGCTTATAGTAGCACCTCAAATAAGGTTATTTATTCACTTGAGGATAATGAAGGGATGTTACATTGAGTGTTCAACTGGAATTAAACTAGAGAGATTTTAGATCAGAAAACTACTCAGTAAGATGTTTTGATTTCCTTTAAGTGCTTAGAAGAAATGAAACGGGAAGCCAGGACTATTAAGATTGATAGAAGATTGACGGGTGCCAATATAATTGATGAACCTCTCCAGCAAGTGAGTTTCAGCGTGTGGTATTTGAATTCTATATATTGTGTTCTAGGTATATTTCTTATGACGATACCAGGAAATACTTTTTGCTCTTTAAATAATATCCTGGAATTTCTTTATGTTATCCTTGAATTTTATACTTGAAGATGCTTCCCTATTTATTAACTCCCTTCTAATGAGGTGGTTTACTTTATGTAAAAGCCTTTCGATTGAATTTGGATTTAGAAAAAAAGTTTTTATTGACATTTGATAGTGTTTCTTAAAATTTTACAGTTAAAGTGTTACTGTTTTGTTGATTAATAAGCTTAGTGGTGTGGTAAATCAGACTGTTTTTTTCCTACTTGTTACCTTTTAAAAATGGAAATGAAATATCTGATCTAAAAACATTAAAAAATTAGAGCTAGGTAAAAAGCTATGCCCCCTGAAATATTTTTCATTGATGTTTGCTTGTATGATTATAAAAATGTGTACTTTAGAATTTTAACATTATTATTACTAATACTTTATCTGGTTTGTAAAAATTATACATTGAATTGTATTATGTATTATTTATTGTCTAAATACTGTTGGCAGTATCAAAGATGTTAGTAGAAATAAGTGAACTCCTGTGTAATTTTTATAATTAGACTGCAATGGATCCGATGATGTAATCTTTAAAAAAACTTTTTTTTTTTGGGAATTCTCTATTATTTTACAGCACATTCCATTAAACTGATTGATATTATTTATTAGATTATAGCATGGAAAGTTTATTTTTTTTCTGCAAACTGTCTTTACCTGGATTTATATGGAACTTGGCCATATATAGTGTTTTAATTTTTTTTTTTTTTAAATCTAAGCAGTAGGTGAGTTTAGATACCAGAATAATTTAAAAATGTTTGAAGTGGTTTTTAGTATGTTGATGTTTTTGTAATGAGGGCAGGTATTTACCACCATAAATTAACACGTAGAGAGTAAATATAAATTGGCAGATACAGCATGCTTTTTTAGTTTACCACTATAACTTTTTAAATCCTAAAATGTTGTAATTTTTTCCCAATATTTTTGTTACAGGTTATCCAGTTTTCCTTGAGAGATTATGTCCAGTACTGGTATTATACACTAAGCGATGATGAATCTTTTCTTCTTGAAATTAGGCAGACTCTTCAAAATGCGCTCATTCAGTTTGCTACTAGGTAAGGACATGGCATTGTATTTATGCAGAAAAATTTAGATGCATGGTTTGTACCACTAAGGAAAATAACTTTTAAGGGGAGGAATTGTTTATTAAAAGGTAAGTAGAACAGCAGATTATTATTGTGGGATAACTCCAGGATTTTAGAACTAGAGCTCTTAAAACCTTTACCCCAGATTTTAGGTTTTCACAGAATATTTATTTTGATTAAGCCCTGCTTTCTGTTTGGTAGTTTTTTCTTTAGGGTCCAAATCAGTGACTTTTTAAATCTGTTACCCCACTTATTGATACTTTTCCCCCCGCTTTTCCCTAGACCCTCTGTTTTATGTGAGTGCTATGAAAATAGATTAGTTTCAGAGTAACTGCTCTTCTCCTTTTGCTATAACTCTTCTCCTAATTATGACACATATCTATTGGAAGTTCTCTTGGAGGAGAAGGAACCAAAGGAACATAAGTCAGTGGAGAATATTCAAGTTTATATTTTTCAGAAGAAAAGTTTATTTTGGTGAGTTTAAGGAACTTTTCTTGTCAGATGTACTAAAATTCTTACTTTACAAACCAGCTGTATACTGCTTCCCATATGATGAAAGTATTTTGGCTTCTATTTTACTTAAACTGCTTGATTTTTTTTGATGGGAGGCTATTTCACACCTGTTTAAATTACGTTTACTTTCATTTTTATATTTGAAGGCTTTTGTTTTTTTTCCCCCATCATTGACGTCTAACTTTTTGAAAGCCTTTTAATGGGCAACATTATATGAAAGAGAATACTTGTGTTCTAGAAATTATTTATTTTTGAAAGAAAGATTTTATGTTTGGATGAGTTTATAGACTTCTTTTTTTATTCCATTAAAATATGTTGCTACCATCACACACAAAGATTGCCCTGCTGTGTATTTCCAGCTCATGCTGCCCTCTCAGGCCCTTTCCTCTATCTCCATTTGATTCTAAAGCTTTAGATTTGGAGTTGGCTAGAGGAAGGGCATGAGATGTGTTTCCCAACCTCATTGGGGAGCCTGGTACAAGGTTTATGGTTTGAACAATAATAGTTATAGAGATAGATTTGTACTTCTCCTCCCTCATGATTAGGAGTAAGCATTTGCAAAGGAGCTAGCCAGAATTACAGATGCAGACTCACTGTGGAACACAGAACATGTAATTGGTATAATCAAAGGAAGTCAGAACTTGAATGTAATCTCTTTTATTTCATGTGCACCATTATTGAGTGTTAGGTATTCTTTCAGATAATTCTTCTAAATATTTATTTATTGCTTTCTATAGTGATGCTATCCTGATGACTTTTTTTTTCTTAGAAAGGGTGAGGATAAGAAGAATTCATTATTCTTGTGCCTGACTATTGGAAAATATATAAAAATGTGTAACACATTTTAGAACTGGAAAGAGATTTGAGCTCTAGTAATTTGAAAACTTGAGTTTGCGTTCTAGCTCCACCTCTGGCTGTAGGACTGTGAGCAAGTGTCTTTAAACTCTGAACCTTGGTTTTTCTCATATGTAAAATAAGTAATAATAACTGCCCTGTTCTGTGTTCCTCTCAGGATAATTGTCAGGATCAAAATTCGTGTTATTCAACTAATATTTTGGGCATACTTTGTACCAACCAGATGCTGGGGATATAGCAGTGAATAAAACAAAGTCCCTGCTCAGTGGAGTGAAATGAAATACCTGTGATAGTGTTTTGAAAATTGTGAAGGAATTTAGAAATTTAAGTTTTTATGCCATCCAACACCCATAATTTTACTGATGATGAAGCTAAGGTCCAGAAAGGTAAAGTGGTTAGTCTAATGTTATCCAGTGAGTTAGAGTTAGAATCAAATTGTTCTTAAGTTTGGTATTTTTTCTCTCACCCAATGAAATATTTTATAATTTAGGTTATTTATCTTAGTTTCCTGCTCTTCTTTCCTGTTATTGCAATACTTTCCCTATTTTTGATCCCCTAGTCACCTTTCTTTTCACTGTAGGTCTTAAGTTTTTTTTTCTTTTGAAAACATTCAGTGCTGTCAAGCTTAATGAAAAAGCAAGGTTTTTTTGCATCCTACACTGATCTAAATTTATATCTTTGCTTGACCATTTACCTTAAGTTTCTGGCAAATTAAAACATTACAGATAATAACTACTTTAGAGGCTGCTTTGAGGCTAAAAAATGGTATCAAATAAAGTTCTTAGCATGCGATAAAACTCATTAATTGTTGGTTTGTTCCTTCTCTGTTAATTACTTTCCTACGTAGACTTTTTCTATTACTACGCAAATATATGACTTACTAGAGGCTCCATGACTTCCAGTACCAATATCAAGAAAATTAGTCTGTTTACAATCATTCATATACTTTAAAAACCTTATTCTGTGCTGTCTGCTGTATACTGTGAAGCATATGATAGCAGCAAAAATTATCACCTCTATTCTTTAACTTACAGTCCTTTATGGGGCCCACAACCCTGGAAAAAAACTTTTTTTTTTTTTCCTCTCCAGTGGTTTCATAGGTTTGATTTTTTTAAAGGGCCGTGAACTCAGAAAATGTTTAGAACCTATGATTTTTAGTGTTTGTATTTACTCATCAACTTTGAGAAACAATTAGAGAATGCCACTGTAAAATGAAGTGCTTAACTTTGAATAAAGATGGGAAGAAAATAATGTATGTTTTGAGTCCGAAGTTGTGGATTTGAACTTAACTCTATTACTTGTTAAGCTCTTGGTCTTGAGTGGACAAAACACATATATTTTTTGTCTGGAGATGATAACTTGTATCCCCTTATCAGGTGGTTGTTAGGATTAAATGACATCATGTGTGGGAGAGTACTCTGTAGTGATAACATCTTATTTAGTATTAGTACTTTTGTTATTCCGGTAACAGCTTGGGGAAGGAAACTTTCCTCCAGTACCCTTGAGTTCTCCTTCTCTGTGGAATTTGGGTGTGGATTAGACAGAAGCCTCAGGGGATGAATCCTGGATAACCCATGTATTTTTTATTTCTCCTTTAAATAAGATATTATAGTGTGATATTGACAGCTTTGGCCTGTGTCAGAAAATCTATAATTCTATCTACCATTAAGTTGTAGTGTATCTAAAAGAAAATTTTTAATATCTCTGTAAAATAGTAATACTAGTACTTGTAGCAAACTCAGAGTTGTAAGGGGAAAATGAGATGATGTGGGTGAAACATTTAGTAAAGTACTTACCAATCAATAAATGACATTTTTAGCAAATCAGTTGACTCTGTGCCTCTATAATCTGGCACATAGTAAGTGTTCAGTAAAATTAACTTCTCTGTTAATTGTTGTTGCTGTTATGTTCCTAGGTTGTGTACACACATTCTTTGACCCTGTCTTAGCTATTTTTTTGTAGAGCAAGGGAGGTAGAGAGGGCAAAATTAAGGCACATGAAACATGGAGAAATAAAACAATCATTTCTGTGGTATTGAGAGTGGTTTTTCATGTAGAGATAGAGTGAACTAGAGTAGCTGATGAAGACCTCAATGGAATTGAGAGCAAAACTGGTTTTCGAGAATGGGTTATTTGGATAGATAGAGAGGAAGGATATGTTAGGAAATAAGAATAGTATGAGCAAATTTCTAAGAAAGAAGATAAGGATAGTGTAGTAGAAACTATAACAATCAACCTTGTTGATCTTGAAAGTGAATTGTGGGTGGTAAATCCCTCCATCTTTGTTCCTCTTAATCCAAGATTAGCAGAAAGTTCATATATTCTTTTTTGTTCTTTTTGTTTGTTTGTTTTTGAGATAGAGTCTTGCTCTGTCACCCAGGCTGGAGTGCAGTGGCACACTCACTGCAACCTCTGCATCCCAGGTTCAAGCAATTCTTCTGCCCCAGCCTCCTGAGTAGTTGGAATTACAAGCGCGTGCCACCACACCCGACTAAGTTTTGTGTTTTTAGTAGAGATGATGGGGTTTCACCATGTTGGTCAGGCTGGCCTTGAACTCCTGACCTCTGATCTACCTGCCTCAGCCTCCCAAAGTGCTGGGATTACAGGTGTGAGTCACTGCGCCCCACCCCCGCGCCAGGGAAAGTAGATATGTGCTAATGCCACTGTGTTCCTTCCTGAAAGATCTTCCCGTGGAGGAAGGAGGGATAGATACATAGGTTTCAGGATTCGCTGGCTGTGATACTAATGACATAGTATCACAGGGAATGATGGGTAAAACTTCAAGAACATATTCCTTGTTTTCTTCCTTTAGCTTTTGCCATAGAAATAATGAAAATAAATGGTATATCCCTACACTTGTTAAAAGGCAAACAAAACTCAAATAGTGGACATTTGCAACAAAATTTTGTCCTTTTTTTGTTTTACCATTTTATATTCTTTGCAATTTGAAATTTGGGTAAAAACTGACATTCCTCGGAAAGACAGTTATATTTATTACAGTATAGCAAAAACAATTAGAAACTAATTTAAAATTAGAAATTTTATGTAAATATTTAAAAGAAGGGGAAATAGTTAATTTTTTTTGTTTTTGTTTTGAGACAGACTCTCGTTCTGTCACCTCCTAGGCTGGAATGCAGTGGCACGATTTCTGCTCACTGCAGCTTCCGCCTCCCAGGTTCAAGCGATTCTCCTGTCTCAGATTCCTGAGTAGCTGGAATTGCAGGTGCACACTGCCACGCACGGCTAATTTTTTGTATTTTAGTAGAGACGGGGTTTCACCATGTTGCCCAGGCTGATCTCGAACTCCTGAGCTTGGGCAATCCACTGGCCTCAGCCTCCCAAAGTGCTGGGATTACAGGTGTGAGCCACCGCGCACAGCCTAATGTTTTTATAATCTATAGAATAGACCTGGGGTAATAGTTCATTATTAACTGATACAATTCACAAACTATACAGTTCACTTAAAGTCAGTAGCTTTAGTTAAGAGTTGTACAACTTTCATCACAATCAATTTAAGAACATTTTAATGACTTCACAAAGAAACCTTATATCCATTGTCAGTCACTTCTGCGTTCCCCCACGCTTCTAGCTCTAGGTGACTAC